TAATAATAATAATAATTATATATACAGTGGTAAGTACAAAAGAAAGAAATATTTAATATTTAACGATATGACTTATCTAACACTTTTTTAAGAATTGCTTGAAATGAAAATAAATAAAATAATATATTTTAAATAGATCGTAGATAGTAAAAAGTAGTCAAGTACACATGAAACATCAATATCACTTGAAACCGGAAAGATTTTTCAGCTGATTGAATTCTTATGAAATTGCGCTATAGAGTTAATTGCGTTGTGTTAAGGATTTATTAATAGACTAACAGCTCAAAGCAGAAGCGAAAATTTGTTTAGCTCTGACATTCGAAATGAACATGAATAAACCTTAAAATGAATTTGCTTGACTGAGAAATCCTGTTACGTGTACTTTAAAAGAATTATAAACAAATATTTCATTCGGAATCAAAAATGATATTATCTTCGCATACAAATGTATAATTTAATCGTTATCATAAATAACGCAAGTTGTAAACACAGCTTTGAATCGAGATTAGAACGTTTAAGATTTTAGCAAGATTTACTAATTACTCATTTAATAATTAGTCAAAACAGCAAACAATGTAATTAACACAATACTGAAATCAAATGATTTATGTAATTTTGTATGAAAACAGTTGTATTGTGTTTAAGTAATTGAGTTTTAGACATTACGCGTGTGCAAATATACAGTGGTATACAAAATATATGTACATTATATATATTAATATATTCGATGAGACAGAAAACTTTAATATAATTTGTCGCTCCTTCAATGTTGGATAACTATAAAATACCTTGCTTAAATTTTTTAATGATAAAGAAATACATAAATTTAGCACTCATTGGATGCTGGATGAATCTGAATCTTATTAAAATTAGTAAACTTTCTGGATTCTTTAACTTAATAGATCTATGGAAAATTTTAATATTTAAAAAAATCATTATAGTTACTTACCAAATCGATAACATGACTAGCCATGGCCAGGATATGACCAGCTGCAGTGTGCGCCAGTCCCGGATCAGATAGGCAATGCCAGAGGACAGGACATAGGAGACGGCCACTGGCAAAATGTTTAATATGCCGATTATTGTGCGCCATTTGCCGGATACCAGCTCGACGACTAGCACGAAGCTAACAACAGTCACGGTCATTGATGCGAATCCAATTATAACACGTAGCGACATGAACATGGCCACCGATGTCGAGAAGGCCAAAATACCACCTGTGCACCAGTGTGATAGAAAGAGAGCAAAAACACGTGAAGCAGACAGTGAGAGAGGGCATGAGAGTGTCAGGCGGGAATGCCAGGTGCAAGGCCAGGCACGTAAATAAGAATGTAAACTCAATTAAAATCTGTACTGCGGACAAATGCAAATGCATGTGCTGCGAGCCCATACCGCACACTACAGACACCCACACCCACACCAAGACCCATACCGACACGTGGTCTGAAAAGTTTAATTTAAATGACATTTAGAAGATAGACGCCATGGCTGGACTGGACCAGCACATGCAATTTGCTCAGTGATTGCCCTATAAACTATTTAATGGACTCACCGAAAACGGTTTGTATAAGCACAAAGCTCATCAATGTGTGTCGCCGACCAAAACGGTCTGAGATCCAGCCGGACAGCACTGCTCCAGCTGCTGCGCCTATCAGAAAACACATTTCCACATAGTTTGTAATGTTGTTGCCACAAACTAAGCCGAAATCTTGCACCAGGGTCTTGGCATCGCCATCGACATCGGAGAACTCAAATTGCTGACACTTTCTGTAGCCCACTGCAGAGGTATTGCTCGGCCAATTGATTAGTTGTCCATTGTCTAAAATAACCTGACTATAGTCAATGTCTAGCAGTTGGCAGCCATTAGGGGTTTGACTGAGATTCCGCCATTCCGTGATGCTCAGGTTCTGAAGGTTTGCTGGCCTGGCACACCAAAAATCCTTTGGCGCGGTCTAGAATGTAGAATTAAATGAAATAAAATAAATGGTACTATGAATAACAAAATTAATTGATTATAAAAATGTTAGGTTTTAAATAAACTCTAAACGGGTTTAATTTGGTTTGATTTTATTTATTTCGATTTCTGTTAGGTATCATCGAGATTGGTTTTTGGATAATTAAGTAGATTATGCATTCAAAAACAAACAAAAGATTATTTATTTATTTTCATTTAATGATTTCATTCTAATGTTGATTAAATGAATGAATTTGACTAGAAGAAGTTCTTAACTTTATATATAATTTGCTTAAAATTWGTATTTCGAATAATGATTAGAGATATTCGACAATAAGCTTCTGTGTATCAGTAGACTCAAGTGAAACGATTCATACCCAATTATATTGTTTCACTCTCCCTTATACTATATTATTTAATGATTAATTAAAATTATACATGTTTTATATGTATGTATTTATATATGTATATTTTTATTCATTTAACAACTATTTTTAATGATTTTACTTTCACCTGAATTTTTTCTCTTTAGAACTTCATTCCATTAGTAAAATCGCTTTAGTGCAGTTGAATTCGTTGATTCCGGTAACACTTTTTTTTTTTTACTATTAATTAATCTTGATAGTTATAGTCGTTAAAGCATTTAAAATTTTACAATTTTCTCAAATTGGCTTTAGCTGTCTATTTTCATTTTCAAACAATTGACTTTCCTAGTGCAAAGCATTTCGAATGTGTGAGCTATGTAACAAGGTATTTAAGTAGTACTTAGAAAGCACATGGATTTAGTTTCATTGAATTAGGTGGAAGTAATTATAAAAAATTAATTTAAGAAACTATTGCAACCAAAACTATTCTAAATTGCAATAAAGTTGAATTGCCTGAGTAAAGCGTGCTTTTTATTATTTATACGTATATCAGAGTATATATGTTTGATTTGTATTCAATCGATAAGTCGATGTTAGGCTATACAATTAACTAATGGCAACTGGCGCTTACGATGGCACTTGGAAATTGATTAATTAACGCTGCATGCATTTGTATTTCGCTTTGGTCAATGGCGAAGTTTATGTAGATGTTGGCTGTAAAAAAACGATTGCATGTAAAAATAATAAAATGCAGGCCAATGACTTCTCATGAGTATTGAACATGGCTGTTACAGCAGGCGGGAAATTGGAAAACATACGSCTGCCTGGTTGGTTGGGATTGCCAGCGAGGCTGTTTGATGTTGATGTGGTGACTTTAATATGGAACAGACAGTCATCAATATCATGACATAGGAGAGTGGAGAAACAGGGGTAGATGGGAGGTCATTCACCGGACATGAGTACTCGGGCTTGAGCTACGGCGCATGGAGCGTATACGCTATGCAATTGTTCAACAGGTTGATTCGATTCCGCTTCGTACGTGCTTCCATTAGGAGTTGGTGTTGTTGTTWTTGTGWGTGAGCAAATGGTTTCAAGTTCAAGTTGAAGTTCGTACTAAAACAACACAAAAACATTAACAACAGCAACGACACCAATGTCGACGCACGTGGAAAGTAAATTAGTCGATTTAATGAGAGCACAAGTAAAAGCTAATGCTCTGCGAAACTGCCGGCTGGTCTCGTTCCTTGATTAACGAGTTATATATGTGGACATATAACATTGCTGTTATCTATCCGTCTATGCCGTGCTCTCACGCCATAAACTGTGAGTCCGTGTAGCCGTTGTTTGTGGTTTCAACTGTTGCGGCGCATACTTGTCACGTTTCAGGCATTTGCATACAAAACCAACATAGAATTTTATAGCGTGGGCTCAGCCGCATGATCCCCACCAGGCTGCAACCATCAAGCCACACCACCCCACTGCACCACCGCTTATAAGTTGTGTCGTTTTGATGAATGAGTTTGCAGATACATTTGCACGAGCTCGAGCCGATTGTTGTCAGCGAGTATGTGTGTGCTTTTGTCTTATTTAATATTTGTTTTCTATTTTTATTTTTTCCACCTGATTGCAATTTAATATAATGACGACATCGGGCACACTGGTCAGCAGTCAGGCAATGTTGGATTGAAGWTTRCTTAACTGTTTAGAGCCTTTCTTAGAAATAAACAATTAATTGATTCCAATTAGGCTTGAAACTCAAGCCGACAATGCCTCTTTATATGAATAGCAAAGTGAAAAGTGTGGAGAGCCTTGTTATGTATTTAAAGTTTCCAACTCTTATTTATGTGCTGATCATATCTAAGGTAATTTTAAAATGAAAGTAATTATTTATATTATTTTATGTAATCCATACACAATTTGTTATTAGAATATGACGGTTTTGATGTAGACATATAAATACATTTTTAAGGGCGAATACTGAAAGATGACTGATTACAAATACCCCAGCAACACACAATAGATCTTGCAAACCTGTTGCCTTTTGCATTTGATAGCCTATTATTAATTGTGCTTGTGTGGGGTCATTGTATGATTACTAACCTACTGCAGTGGTATATACTTATAGATCAAATATATTCTGATATATTGGAGAACGCTTGGCATTTATATAAGTGTAAATTTCCAAAGAGAAGTGTAACCAGTGTACCTCTCTCGCAGGCAAACAAACTGGCCCAGCAATATTTGCGTATTTTTATTATTCTTAGTTAATTGATATATTTAGACACATTTAGCGGTCGCCATTGGCTCGGGGCGCCGGAGTAACCTTTCAAAGTTAACCTTGGTTAGCGCAACCTCTGGCCAGCACCTGATATAGATCAGTGGGTGTGGAAATTAATTGAAAACTTTTGCAGTCGCAACAACTCACATCCAAGTTTAAGGTGCTCGAAAATCGAGCATTTCAGGTAAGGTGAGTTAGTTATCAATATATGTTATATATCAGGCATTTAAGAACTCTGTCAGTTCACCGGAGTTCGATTGAGCCAGCTGGTCTAACCAGAATTGAATAAAATTGCTGAGATTTGTGAAGTATTTAAACAAACGCGTTTCTTAATAAAAGATGAATAACAAATTAAATAATTATATCTCTATTTAAAAGCGCTTTAGATTATATTTAGAAAATTACTCATTATGATCAGTTATGCTGTTTTAAACAACATTTCGTTTACTACATTCACACAATTCTTATCTACGACTTCTTATTCTACGACTACTTATTATCACAAAACACGGGCAATTCAAACAGAATGCTATGTGATTTGTGTGTGTTTTTATGTGATTGCTCGCAGAACATCAAAGCAGGTTACAAGTTGTTGGGGCTTGTTCGTGTCGCTATTGAGGCGTTGAAGTGCAACGACGCTCGCAGCGACTGCGATTGCGACTGCGAGTGTAACTGCAGTTAAGTAACTTATATGGCCAGGGTAAGGTCTTGGTTCTGGGGATCACTCACCTGAAACACATAGACGAATATGTGGAACGTACAAATGGCCTGGTGGATCGATAGCAGAGCGCACCACATGCGCTGCCAGCGGCTCACGGAGCCCAAAAGTCGTTGCAACGTCTTCATTTGGAGAAGTTCCAACTGCTCGGTGCCGACCATGGGCGTGGCTAGCAACATGGGCGACGACTCGCCAGCTGTATTTATTTCGACCGTTTGCATATTTTGAGCGCCCGATTTGAATCGAATTAGAGAGCAAAGTCAACCGACTACCACTTGCGACACAATTAAACTGATTTAGAATGTTTGCGAATTTATATATTTTCAGTTAAGAAACGCACTCAAAGCAGCAGCAAATGAGTGGACAATGAGCATATAGGCATATGCAAAGTTCGATTTTTATGCGTAACTAATGATTTCGTGTGTGACTGCTGAGAGCCTCGGCCATATAGTGGACCACAAGCGTGCTCTTTACTCTTACAACTGAGTTGTTAGACGGGCAGGTGTTGAAATCGAAGTGGAAGTCACTGTTGCACAGGTGCGCCATCATACAAGATTTTTAAAGGGGTATTCAGATAAAATTGAACAAAGCCGAAATGACGCTCAAAAGAGCTGCGCTTAACTGATGAACCGAGCTTTAGCATAAATTAACCCAGTTGAGCGTTGAATTTAGTTAAGCTCAAGCCATAAATCTCAGAGCCTCTTTACAAAAAAAAATAGGGATTGGAGCAAAAGAGTGAAGCCATTTGACCGCTTTCTGAGTGTTTCCAGACTGACATTTCTAATTTTAATTTATTTTTTTTTTTAAATATTTATTTATATGAGAATAATAATATATGTTTTTAAATTCTTAGACAACATTTATTTTTATTTGTATAAAATAATTAGAATATTTGTAAGATTTTAACATTTAATTTTAACATTCACGTGTGAGCAGTGTCAGCTCAGCTTTGCACATGCCTAAAATATTGCGATTTTTCATATTTTATCTCAGTTAAATTTTAAAGCTCAGTAGCATTTTCAGTGGGTAGGGTTAGGTAACTGAATCAGAATGAACAATATCAAAAATTATGCCGATCCCAAAATTGTGTTAACATACAAAGTCGGACATTTGCGTAAGCTMGTGGCTAAATGGACATAACAATTGTACTAATATGCAAATATATCAAATATATTTAAAAGCCTAAATTTTGTAACCCGCTTTTAATTATACGCCCTATGTACCATTACATAAAAATTGCATTATAGTAATACGTATATGGAGTTTCATATGATTGCAATTTTTATAATATTACATCATATGCAACCGATCAATTAGTTAAGCTTAGGTAATATTAGCTGCTCGTTAGTTAGCCAATTTTATTTCCGTGCATATAAGATTGGCCCCTTGATTGGGGGTTATGAACATGAAATTATTGACTGGTTAGTAGTCGTACTAAGGTACATATATCTTAAGTTCTTGACTTCTTGATGCTGCAATATTCTTTCGTATTTAGTAAGCTCTATTGTACACCGTACATGTCAAGGTACACTGTGGTTTGTTTCTTTTTTCTATATATTTGTTTTGGTTTACCTTTTCAAATGCACATTAGCACGCTAGTCGATTATCGTTATTATCGTGCCCCGAATCAAACAATCGAAGTGCCTAAATCGGTGTTCGCAATTGACTTGCACGCAAATTTATCTAAGTTTCTGACAGATATTCGCTGTGACAAACGATGGCAGATTGCAAACTTGAGAAGCCCATTGGGTGCGTATAAAATAAGTATGAACGCTGGCAATGCAAATTTCTCGAAGGTCAATCATGAGCGGATTTCATGGCACACGCGACATCGACAATGCCTTAAAGGCATGAAATTTTAACAAATTTCAGATAATTTATGTATGTATGTAGATTATACCACATATGTATTGCAAATAGGTATTATTATTCGCACTCCCATAGCCATTTATTAATTTCGTCGTATTGCTGTGTAAGAACCAGAACATTATCAAGTGGTGGCGGGCCGCATACTTATGATGCCCGGGGCTTTTATGTTATCACACGTTTTCTATTTCAGCAAGATAACAGACTACCAGCGAGTGTCGAATGTGAGATTTGATATTACTTATTTTTCTTTTTGCACTTACTCATTAAAAAACTACTGAAGTGTCCACTGCTGAGGATCAATACGGTTGTAGTATTTTAATTGAACCCATTTACGTCTTACGAAGTAAGCTTTTGGCACACATTTCTTGGTATATTTTGATAATGGAAGGGATCAAACGAAATTCAACCAATCAATCGATTGATCAGCTCAAGTATAACTTTCTCTTCCCATCACCGAACCAAATCAATTATTAAAACCGTTGCAATGCATAATTGCCTTCGATATGTCTTACCACACAAAACACTAAACAACAAAACACCGCAGGCAATTTATAATTTGGCTATGAGTGAGCGACGCAATCAACTGTGCAAATATTTGTCAGTCCACAAACAGAAACTTACCTGAAATACAAACATAAACAAATGAAATGTGGTGGGCAACTGGAAGAGGCAGAGCAGAAAGGTCCACATAAAGCTCCATTTGCGATAATGGCCCAGAAAATTGGATAGAACATCGCTATCAACATCCTGGCTAAGGTCCTTGACAGGGCTAGCGACTGGCACGCCGACAGCCATGAGGCCGACCTTCTTTAGGTCATCGGAGTGGCGACGAAAATCCATTGCAATTACTTTTATTTCCGGTGTGCCTGGAGCTGGCTTTGTCTCTCGGTAGCCGCCATAAAGGTTGGAATCAAGGCTGCCCCGTGAGCTGCCAACGCAATCAAAATTCAGGGAACCGCGACGCAAGACACCACTCATAGCGCAATCGAGGAAATACAAAATGTTGAATAGTCTAAGTGTAACACTTCTTCAAATTATTTCCGCTTCTGTACATATATTATTGCTTTTCTTTGCTGATCAATTGTACTGTTCGAAGTCGCGCCGTCGATTGTTTGCTTTGCATTTCGCGACGATCTAAATCCGTTAAAAGTTCAGTCAAGCTATTATAAATGATGAAAAGCTCAAAAGCTCTAAATGGCGGCATTGCCAGCTGCGTCAAATCTAATTGCAAAACTTCGCCTAAGTCAACGACTCGAAAGTTGTCGTAGGTTGAAAGCTTTCCGCCTAGAGCCATATGTTGCTTGCAGTAAACGTTTCCACATATGTATTACATATACATGTATTTATTTATTTATTT